TTGTATTACTTTCTAAATTTTTCTGTAAATTTAAAACTGTTCTAAACAATTCTATTTAAATTTGTTTATTTTTATTTTTTTAATATATTTTTTATTAATTTCAGAGAGGAAGGGAGAGGGAGAGAAAGCTGGAATCATCAATGATGAGAGAGAATCATTGATCAACTGCCTCCTACATGCCCCACACTGGGGATTGAGGCCACAACCTTGATCAGAATTGAATCCAAGACTCTTCAGTCTACTGGCCTACGCTCTATCCACTGAGCCAAACAGGCTAAGGCAATTTAAACATTTTTTTTTTTTTAAGAGCATAGGTGCCTGGCCAGTGTAGCTCAATGGTTGAGCATTGAGCTATGAACCAGAAGGTCACAGTTCAGTTCCTGGTCAGGGTACATACTGGCTTGATCCCCAGTAGCGCAGGAGGTAAACCAACCAATGATCCTCTCCCATCATTGATGTTTCTACCTCTTTCTCCCTCTCCCTTCCTCTCTGAAATCTATAGAAACATATTTAATAAAACAATAAAGTAAATAAATAAGAGCATGGATAGCCTCTGGACTCTGACCTTCTGGACTATACCTTGAGGTAAATTACTTAAAATCTCTGACAGTTTCTCTGTCTATAAAATGGAAATAGAAAGAATATCGACCTCATAGATAAATTAGATAATCCATGTAAAGTGCTTAATACAAGTATATGGCAAATAGTAAACACTCAATAGATGGTAGATATTATTATTATTATTATTATTATTATTACTATGTAAAATCTTTATTGAATACTCAATACACATTTAATGTGATTTTACATTTAATTTTTTAAGTAATTAATAATTTCTATGATAATTTTATTTCCTTTTTGAGTGGAAGAAAATGGAATATAACTATTATATAGTATTTGTATAAAGGGTTTCCCTCTCAGTGTATCATTGAAGTGCTCCAAACAACTTAATTCAAATACCAGTCTATTGTAATGGACTGAAATGAGTGGTCACCAGAGGTTCTGTATACATGGCATTGTCTATAAAGTAATATAAGACAAATACCATTTTTCATTGTAAAGCCAATAAAAACATCAACCAGAGAATATGTTAGATTGTGATTATACTCTTTTAAATAACAATACTTGATAAAATTTATTTGAATATTATTACATAGAATTTGTTTAAAGATAAAAAAAAATTGTGAAACCAGTTTGGCTCAGTGGATAGAGTATCGGCCTGCAGACTCAAGGGTCCCAGGTTTGATTCTGGTCAAAGGCATGTACATTGGTTGCGGGCACAATCCCATTAAAGGGTGTGCAGGAAGCAGCTGGTTGATATTTCTCTCTCATCGATGTTTCTGGCATTCTATCCATCCCTCTCCCTTCCTCTTTGTAAAAAATCAATGAAGTGTATTTTTAAATAAATAAGTAAATAAATAAAGATAAAAATAACTAAGTGGAGTAGTGAAAGAGTGCAGTGAAATAACTGTTACATTAGGATCTATCGAAGAAGAGAGTTTGACCTAACCAATGGCTTCTAACCAGGCTGCGCATCACCTATAGGGCTTGGAAAAAAATCCAAAAAACACAGAAAGATGCTGGACCATCCATGCAGACTTACTGTATCAACAGCTCCTGGGAGAGCCTGGGCACTGCTATCTTTAAAAGATGGCATGGGATTCCAGTTTGTGAATAACTGGTCTTCTATCTTGTTGAGTATACCCTGCTCTTATCACAGAGGCAGCCACATGATTCACCTTTGTCCGAGCTGCCTTTGTAAATACAGCCTGATAGTCACCATCATCAAGAATTATCATCAGCTCGAGACAGTCTTACCTGTGACTTTTTAAAAAAAATTTTATCTTAATTGTTTAAAGTATTACATTACCTGTTACTATTATAGTTGTTTTTTATATGGAATTTTGGACCCTCTGTTTCCTCAGGCTCTCCACTGTCTTAAACATAAAAGGGACTGTCTTCTCAATTCAGTCCCCCAACACTCTCTTCTCCCACTCCGAAGCCAAGTGTTACCTCCCTGCACCTTTCCCCCTCTTTCCCTTTTAATGGCCAATAGAGAAACTCAGCACATTTAACACAGGCAGTTGCCCTCAACTACCCTGAACGAAGCCGGTACTCCCTTCCTGCTGAGCCAACAATTCTTGAAGCAACTGGTGTGCTCCGAGTCTCTTTTCAGAGCGCTGTGGTCCAGGCTGTCAATAGACACCACCCCCTGCACAATGAACTGTAACTGGAGAATCGAGAAGTAGGCGTCCCCATGACAGAATGAGTATGCAAAGGAACAGTGGCTGGACTGTATGTAAAAATGCAACTCTGACCCACACCATGTGTTAATCAGCCTAGGAAGCCAATCTACCACCTACAGGAACCAGCCGGGAAGTCAACTTAGTACCTGTAGCCTCTAGTCCAGGAAGCCAAACAACACTCCTGTAGAAATCAGGCCCAAATGGTCAGGACTTGATTAATAACTAACAGCTTCCCTAAGGTTTTTGTTTTTTTTTTTTTTTTTTTTTTTAATATATTTTATTGATTTTTTTACAGAGAGGGAGAGGGATAGAGAGTTACAAACATCAATGAGAGAGAAACATCCATCAACTGCCTCCTGCACACCCCTGACTAGGGATGTGCCCACAACCAAGGTACATGCCCTTGACTGGAATCGAACCTGGGACCTTTCAGTCTGCAAGCCAATGCTCTATCCACTGAGCCAAAATGGTTTTGGCTGCTTCCCTAAGTTTTGCCCCTGCTTCCAACTTTGGGTAAATGGGAGAAAGTCCAATACGCCACCTGAACAACCACTCAGAATGCCCCACTTCTAGTTAGTCCCTCTACAGTGTCCTCATGCCAACAGCCTCCAAAGGGGGCAGAGCCGAAGCCTTCCCTGTCTTCCATTATAAAGCTTTTCTGCTCCTTCTCTGCTTGCCTTAGCATATCTGTCAAGTGCAAGTGATGCTGGTGGACTTCCTTGCTTTGAATAGGAGCCTTTGTTGGTTCTCATGCTGGTGGTCTTCATTTCTTACCACAGCTAGGAAAATGGGGCTGTAGGCTTAAAATGGCTCACTGAATTGTTCGTTCATAGCAGAAATGGCCAAACCTTAGGGAGGCTAGAGAGGGTAGCAGAAAGCGCACAGTGTTACCCGTGACTTTGAGGAGGTCATGGTTGGCAAGTACAGAGTGGCTGTGAAAGGGCACAGGCTCTGGATCCAGACTGCCAAGGTTCAAATCCTGGCTCTGCCACTTCCTAGCTGTGTCAATGTGTCAAGTTAACTAATTTGTACCACAGTTTCCTCGCCTGTTAAAACGTTGGTGATGATAATATCACCTGCTTCATTGGGCAATTGGAAGAATTATAGGGGATAACCCATGTAAAATAGGTTTCAAAATCAATTTCAATGGTGAGAGAGAAGAGGGGAGAGAGGGAAAGAAAGAGAGACCCAGCAACACTGGGCTGAACTTCGGGAAAGCCACAGTGGTCCTGGGCTGATTACTAACTGCCTCTTTTAAAAGAGACATATGTGCTTCCACTTCCCAAGTTTCCATCAACCATTTATAATATAGTTACCTGGCCTCATTTGCTACCTGTGGACTGGGCTAAGTACATTTTTCTTTCACAAAATTAGTAACCCTAGGAAACCAGTGGGTGCAAAAACTGCCAATGCCATCATCCATTTCAAAAAGATCTGGTTTGGGCCCAACCGGTGTGGCTCAGTGATTGAGTCTCACCATGAACCAGGAGGCCACGGTTACATTCCCGGTCAGGACACATGCCTGGGCTTCAAGCTTGATCCCAGTGGAGGGCATGCTGACGGCAACCGATCAATGATTCTCTCTTCATCATTGATGTTTCTATCTCTCTCTCCCTCTCCCTTCCTCTCTAAGACCAATAAAATATAAGGGCTCTTATTCCTCAAAGATAACTTGGAAATTTCTATGCTTTCCTGAAATCAAAGACTTGAGTATGCTTTTCTGAGGCATTTATTTAAGGGTTGTAATTTAAAATCACAGAGCTTATGATATACAAATAATTTTTATGTAACTAGAAGCCCAATGCCACATTCCAGAAAGTGTGACCATATTCATGAAAAACGATGAAAACTTTTCCTCTCCTAGGCCTTCTGCTATTCTTTGTAAGAAAAACAGCACTTTCAGAGAATTAAGGCTAAGTTGTTTTGACATCAAGGCTTTTATTTTCAACTAAAATTCCATGTGCCATCATAGAGTATCAAATCTAACCCAAAATGCCTGTGCTTAACAAAACAAAGATTTTTGTCTGAATCATTTCTGGCGATCACATGCAACCCTTCCAACAGGCAGTGTCTCAGCCTTCCAATGACTGTATAAAATGGGGTTTTGAAGCCAACTTTCCAAACTAAAATAAAAAGCCATTCTCTAGCATACACCTTCCTTCCATCAAATTGGGTAGATGAAGTGATTCAGAAAACGGAGAGCCACGTTAATCACAAATAGCATTTTACTTTCTCGTTTCACCTGCAATTTAACGTGGGCACTTGAGAGTGCACCGAGCACACCAGTCTAGGATTACTTCATGACAAGAAAACATCACCTAGACATTCTGGTTTACAATACTCTGAGCCAAGGGAGACAGAAATGCTTGACAACTATCAGATGGTTTCACGCGGGCTGCTGTTTTTCCCCAAGCCTCCGTTGTTCACTTAATCTTGCAGGCACACTCCAGATTTCTTGTAAAGAAGAAGGGTGCCTGTGGGGTTGGGTCTCGGGGAAGGTGGTGTCCTCCCAAGGCCGGGAAGGGGCAGCTTCCCTGTGGGAACCACCCAGAGGCTGCTGCAATCTGGGCCCCTTCCCCGCTGTCCAGGACCGCGTGGACGCCCAGCACCACGCAGAGCTGCCCCGCAGCGCGGGAGGCCGGGAGGGGCGTCGGGCGGGACGGAGCGTGCACCAGGAGCCCCGCCGCATCCTCCCGGACACCCCTCCCGGCCAGGCCGCCCCTACCCCCGCCCCCGCCCCGGGCCAGCACTCACCCAGGCCGCGCCAGCCCAGCGCGCCGTCGCAGCTGTCCAGGATGACACAGAGCTGGCCCAGCAGCGCGGGCGGCAGGTCGAACAGCGGGGTGTGCACCGAGAGCGCGCCGCCCGCCCCGCAGCTCCCCGCCGCCGCCCAGGCCATGGCGTGGCCGCCAGTGACCAGAGCCTGGGAGGTGGAGGGATGCGGGGCCCAGAGCTCTGCACGTCAGCGAGGGGCCGTTACACAACCGCGGAAATCCTGCGGCCCAGAGGGCAGAACACGCCGAACCCAGGTCCCCAAGGGGCGGGCCCTCCGTGACGCAAAGGGCCGCTCCCCTCGGATGCCCCCGGGGACGCCTGGTTCGGCCCTGGGGTCTCCAGGCCTCTGCTGGGTTCCTGGTCATTGGCTTTAAGCTTTGAAGAGTTGTATTTGTTTGTTTGATTGTTTTTGTTTTTCATTCCTCTGGGGTTGGGACGTGACCGAAGACCAAGCAGAGAGTGAAAGCGGGAGGAAAACCAGAAGTGCAGGAGGAATGGAGAGAGAGCCTGCCTGTCCAGGCATGACTGCCTCTTGGCCTGGATGGAGATGAGGCCTGGCATTGCTTATTTACCCAGTTTACTTCCTTTTATCTTGTCAAAACCCGTGCAGTGAGGAACACTTGGGTGACGCAGAAAAATGGAAAGAATAAAATAATCACTCATCATAGCCCAACTGTGTTGCAGACAACCAACAACCACTCCACACGTGTTGGCACATTTTCCTTCCAACTTTTACTGAATGTAAACAGATCAGTGTGCACATATGAACTGGTTTTGGGGAAAGATGGACACAAATGCCAACAATAGAAAAAAACAAGAGACAGAAAAAGTAGAGTAAAATCGTAGTGATTTTCTTCACTAGGCTGCCTCTTTCTACACACTGCATTTGGTTTTACTATGGTCCCTTTTCTCTGAACTTCCTTGATGAAACATTGTTTGACCACTTTGTTCTTCCTCAAAGGGCTTACCAGCAATCTTCCTTTTGCTTTCAACATGGAGTTTAAGTACAATTGACTATTGTTTTGAAATCTTCTACTGTTATGTGGTAATATCCCCCCAGCAGGCATAACACAAATGCTACTGACAAAAAGAGATGCTTTGAAAGTGATGAGAAAAATCCCAACCTAATGACTGAAGAGTGGACCACGACCATTAACTGAAAAAAATGTCAACACCTACTTGAAACTTTGCAAATTTGCAGTCTTTAGGAATGGCGCCCCCTAGATATCAACAGTGACACTATTATTAGTACTGTTGGAATATTCACGCTGTCAGCTGAAGTATTAGGTAACATCTTTTTAAAAATTAGTAAAGGCAATACTGTTTGGGCAAGAGTTTCTATTGTATATCCCTTTCTTCAAATGGCTAAGATTTTATTTGCAACCTGTACATGCTTAAGAAACCCTATACTTCTCAGGGGACTACCTGAATAAGGTGAGTAATGAAGCAGCATACAATTAAGTAGTTGGTAGCTCTTGAATTGTTAGAACAAGGGAGTCAAACTCAGATACACAGAGAAGCCAGGATATCATTGTAGATGAATGAAGCAGTCATCAAGGCCTGCTTTGCCAAATTTTCTGATTTACAAAAGAAGAACTTGATGTGAAAGCCAGATTATGTGAAATCTATAGATATTATATGAAACCTCTTGTATTTTCAATGTTGGTAGCTAGTATCAGACCATGCTTCCTCCCTATTCCGTAGAACTGCCTTCGAGTTTTGAATTCTATATCAATAGATTATATCACTCATTATACTCTTTTCGTGTTTGTTTGTTTTAGAGAGAGAGGTGGGGAGCAGGGAGAGGGAGAGATGGAGACACCAATGAGAGTGAAGCATGGATCAGCTGCCACTTGCACATCCTCTACTGGGGATCAAGCTCTGAACCCAGACCTGTGCCCTGACTGAAAATTGAACTTGGTGCGGGGGACATCCCTCAACCAACTGAGAGCCACACTGGCCAGGCATCATTCATTATACTCTTCACTCTTGCTGTCATCCTCTGCTACCCCCACCTCAATTCCAACTCCTCGTTTTTTAGACAATACAGCTCCTTCTCACTGTAATTATCTTCAATACTAGTCCTGTCTTAATTCTTGGTGACTTAAAATATATGTAGAATAAACTGTGATCGTTCCAGCACTTTGGACTCTCAGTTCCTTGACTCCTTTCCTTGAGTGATTTTATCCCGCACCCAATTTCAGTCACTCATTCGCATGAACATCCCCTAGAACTTGTCATTGTCAACAACTGCACCCCATCCATTCTTTATGAATCCACCCTCTGATCACACCACCTGTCCTTGCAGTGCATTCCCTCTAGTACTCTGACCTGAACAACCCTTCTCACCAGAATACCAATCCCAAATCTTAAAAAAAGATATATTTTTATTGATTTTTGAGAGGAAGGGAGAGGTAGAGAAGAAACATCAATGATGAGAATCTTTCATTAGCTGCCTCCTACATGCCCCTACCCCCACTGCGGATAAAGCCCACAACCTGGACATGTGCCCTGACTGGGAAAAGAACTGTGACTTCGTGGTTCATAGGTTGATGCTTAAACACTTAGCCACACTGACTGGCTGCCAATCCAAAGTCTTGCCATCCCATCTCTGGCCCCATCTTCTTGAGGTCCTCTTTTGTCTCCTTATCCATAAAGTCCACACTCAATTATTATAATCCCTCCTTTGCATATGCTCTCCATTTTCCTGCTCCTCGCTCACTTTATTGAACTCTCTTGACAAATCTACCCTCCTGATTAAATCTAATTTTCTAATTTTTGGCTCTGCACCCATGCATCTAATGGGAAGAGGGGGAATCCAAACCCTGTTAATTGGATTCAGTTTAAAATCAAAGCCATGATTCTCAAATTGGTCATTGATGCTGCTAAGCAGTTACATAATATACCTTTAGTCCATTTACTCTTCCAGTCTCCTTGACAACTGTTTCATGCCATCTCTACTCAATTCACGTAATCTTCTCCCCACTCTCCAGGCTCTGCTGATGATCTTGAGAGTATTTTTTGAGAATACTAATGCATCGGGAGAAAACATCCACAGGATCTCACTACCATGTCCATTTACCTACCAGCATTTGTACCAACATACATCCTCCCCTCTTTTCCAAGACTGATTTACCTAGGCTCCTATTTGAGTCTAATATCTTCACTTGTCTTATCTCCTGTCGCTGCTCAAACATATCAAGGGCAGCTGTGTCACTCTGCCATATAATCAATATCTCATTCTTTGCTGATCAATTCCATCAGCATACAAATACGATGTTAATTCTTCTCACCTGAAAACAAAAACCTCTTTCTTCTTCTATCAACCATCCCATTTCTTTGCTCCCTTCTGTAGTGAAGTGTTGAATATTCTTACTGTCTCTAATTTTTCTCCTCTGCTCTTCTCTTAAACTCACTCTAATTAGAACCACCATCACTCACCTTACTCCACTGAAATTGCTCTCTTTGGGGTCACCTACATCCACATCATTGCTAAGTATAATAGTTTTCAATCTCCATCTTACTTGACCTGTTAGTCAATTTTTACACAGTTGACCACCTCCTCCTTCTTGGACACTTTCTTTGTTTGTCTTCCAAATTCTCATACATTTCCACCTACTTCACTAGTCACTCTTCAACTTTCTTTATTGTTCCTCTTCTACCAAGGCTCTGTCCATGGTTCTTCTCTCTATCTATACTCACTCCCTTCAGGGGTCCTCAAACTTTTTAAAGTGGGGGCCAGATCACGGTCCCTCAGAGAGCTGGAGGGCCGGACTATATGAACTACTAATTCCTACTGTAACACCTCTGCTGCGCTCACTGCCCAAAAAACCTGGCGGGCCGGATCAGACTCCTCTGCGGGCCGCATGTGTCCCGCGGGCCGTAGTTTGAAGACGCCTGGGCCTTGGTGATCTCAACCAGTGTTGAAGCTTTCAATACCGTTCACCTACTGAGAACTGTCATATCTGTCTGTTGAACTCCAGGCTCATGTCCAAAATTGAACTCTTGATCATACCACCTGAATCTACTTTTACTCACATTTCCCTCCTCTAGATTACTCTGTTCTTCCAATTGCTCAAACCAAAAAATGTAGTCACCCTTGACTCCTACATGTCTTCACAGCCCACCAGCAAATCCTACTGATTCTATTCAGACTGTATCTAGAATGTGACACTTTTCCCCACCTCCACTGCTACCACCCTGGGCTTGAATCATATGTCTTGTCTGACCGTTGTAGTTGTCTCCAAGTAAAAGTAGCTTTCACTGTTGCTTCCTACATGCTTTCTTCAACACTGCATCCAGCCTAACCCTTTTAAATTAAATTTTATTATGTCTCTCCTCTGTTCAAAAGCCAACACTAGCTTTTAATTTCAGTCAGAATAAAAGTCAAACTCTTTATACTATCTTAATTCTCTCTCACCCTGCCCCTCTGCTCTGTTACCCTCTGATATTGTTTCTTCGTTCATTCTACTTTAGCCACTGCCTCCTTGCTGGTCCTTAAACATACCAGGTCGAGTCCCACGTTGGAACATTTTGGTTTGCTATTCCTTTGCCTAGGAATGCTCTTATCACATGGTTAAGGCCTACCCTGACCACCAGATTTAAAATTACAGTAGTCTGTACACTGAAATTCAGGTTGGCATGTGACTGATATTGGCAATAATATATGACTTTGAGGGGACCAAGTCTCATTCAGATCTTTCAATCTTTCTCTGCATCTGAATGATTAACATTTAAGGTTCAAGGATTATTGATGATTTTATTTCTTTCCTGTGTTTTCTGAATTCCCAAAAGTTAATTGCATTGTATCCATGATTAGAAAATTCGGAAGTCTAGAAAATAATTTCTTTCAACACTTCCATGGTTGATCCCATTTGATGGTTTCTTTTCCTTTTTATTTATTTATTTTTTTTATAAGAGAAAGCTTATTTAGAAAGTCACAGAAGTAGGAGATATGGGCTCAGGAACCAAGTTACAGAGGCAATAGAAGAACCGTTGGAGCTTAGGAGAGAGAAAGGCCAGGAAAATCCACTGAAGAAATGGAGGTGGGATAGCTCCATCGGGAGAGCTGCCACTATTTTCTTTTTAAGCTATTTTCATGGCCCTTTGCACCTCAGGGTGCACTGCTATAATAATTTGTCCCTAGCTATCACTGACTTTGAAAATCTGATTTATATAATCTAATAATTTTTAGCCAAGGGCTTTCCTGCTAATTTCAATATTAGCCAAATGCTATTTTTTAAGCCAACATTTATTTATCCCCAGAAGAATCTCAGATATGTGAAAAGATATGAGAATATGGCAACATTTTTTCTCTTTCAGTAAAATGTTTACTCCGACTGTTTGCCATTTGAGACTAGGCAAGGGCTTAGAGAGCTTAGTCCA